GGCGTCGTTCGGACCGGAAACCGGTCCAGGAGTACCGCCACCGGGCGTCGAACCTCCGTGAAGCGGTGGACTGCCGCTACTCGCGCTCGAGCTACCGGTATTGCCACCGACGCGGGCGCCACACGCGTTACCGTAAGGAGAGACCTGAGAATGCGTGACCACGCCGACGCCGATCACCTGCTCCAGCTTCCTGAACGACTCGTTATCGATGGGGGACAGGATATCTGTGACGCTGAACGGAGTTGTATGAGCGCCACCAGCGGCTTGAACGTGGGACGAATGCTGTTTGGGCGATAGGCTCATAGCCAGGTCAATACCGTTCAGATCCGTCAGCAAGCTAGCCTGCTCCAGCTGCGTTTGTTGTTGCTGTTGCTGCTGCTGCTGTTGCTGTTGTTGTTGCTGTTGTTGTTGCTGCTGGTGCTGGTGGTAGCTGGTGGCATTGCCGTTACCCTGGTTGCCGGCGCTGTTACCGCTGCTGCCACCGCTCATCTCGACGAGGCCCGCGCCCTCGAAGTACTTGAAGCTCGCGCTTCGCGGAATCCTGAGGCCGGCGCTAGCCAAGGGAAACCGACATGACTGGAGCTCCCACCGCTGCGTATCGCACCGATCTTCAATTTCACCTGCAAATTTGGACGAGTTCACTCGTCTTCCTGTTCTTTGTACACCTTCGTCGCACTCGACAGTTTTTGGTCCTTCGAAGTGATTCGACAGTTTAATTCGTCTCTTTGAGACGCATCACTTTGTACGTTTCACGATCACACTTCGGTATATACGCGTCGAACACAATAATCCTCTAACGCACGATCACTGCATCCTGACGAACTCGATCCTTCGTAGGTAGCGTTCTTCACGGACTGGATACGATTCGCGGAACACGTCCATCGGTGCCCTCCAACTCGAGGGAGGCTGTTGTTGCTGGATGCATCCAGCAACGTCGCCGCGACATCCGGCACATTCCTACGCCCCGTTGTCCCGGTTCAAACGAGGATCACTGGAGAGACCGGGTGAAAGGCACCCTCGGATACGGTGCTCGACTCTCGGCGACCGACTGGGGACTCTGTCGGTTCACCGGGAAGGAAACGCGCGAGTCCTCGATGACCGATCTCGGCCGCGACGTAGCGCGCACACGAACAATCGACTCCCGGAGGACGAAGGAGGCCAGGTAGACACG